CCCTTTCTGAAGATACCTGCTTAATTGAAAACTCTGAAAAGTGTCTCTTTGCATATAAAAATAATGTGTTAAGAGTTTTAACTAGTGAACCTGTGAATTTCCTAGCTGAACCTGTGAATTTAGCTTAAAATAGTAAAATTATTTCATGACTCCTAGGCCAGAAAAAATATTTTTAACATCCATTTCTTGAAGTAAATAAAAACCATGTTAACAAATTCAGAGTATACAATACAGGGTTTACAATACAAGTAAGTCTTCCCTCCACTCATGACCCACTATCTTCAAGCTCTTGCCTACTTATCAAAGAAAATCATTCCTCCTGCGTGTCTACTTTCAATACTCTCTGAATACTCTGCTTAATTCTGACTCTTCTGCTCACCAAATGTGTTGGGAGTGGGTTGGGGGATAGATTCCCTCACACCAAGCAATTCTCAGATTCTCCAGGTACCAGTTGTGTGTCTTACAATTCAACTCAATTCTGACACTGTCTATGTGGGGCTAGCCTCAGATCCCACAGGTTAAGGACTTAGTTCCACAAGACTGGTCTCCTTCTCTCACTTGAGGCTTCAGTCATAGGTCCAGGCATTCCTCCTGTATTTCTGAATGACTGTCTATGAATAAGAGGTTCCCGTGACCCCCTCCTCAGGTTTGATTAATTTATTGGAGTAGCTCACAGAGCTCAGGTAAACAGTGTATTCACTAGATTACCAGTTTATTACAAAAGATATTAAGTGACATGAATGAACAGCCAGGTGAAGACAAACTTGGGTGAGTTCCAGAAGGGTATCAAACATAGGAGCTTCTATCTCCTGAGTGCGGGTACACAATCCTATCAGCACATGGATGCATTCCTGTTCACCAACCTGGTAGTTCAGTGAATTGTGTCCTTCGGGTTTTTATGAAGGATTCATTACTTAGGCATAACTGATTTAAAAATTGGCCACTTGCCCCGTTGGCATGACTCAGTGGTTGAGCATCGACCTATGAACCAGGAGGTCATGGTTTGATCCCTAGTCAGGGCATATGCTCAGGATTGCTGGCTCGATCCCCAGTGTGAGGTGTGCAGGAGGCAGCCGATCAATGATTCTGTGTTATCATTGATGTTTTCATCTCTTTCTCCTGTCCCTTCTTCTCTGAAATCAATTAAAATATATTTTTAAAAATTAAAATAAAAAAATAAAAGTTGGCCACTGATGATTTATTCAACCTCCTCAGAGGTGAGGGTGGGGCTGATTCAATCCTTTAATCTGGTGATTGGTTGCCCTGGTAACTGGCCTCCATCATTAGCAGCTTTCCAAAAGTTGCCTCATTAATATAAACTCAGATGTGTTGAAAGGGACGTGTTATGAATAACAAGACACTTCTTTCACATTTGTCACTTTGAAGATATGTCAGGAGGACAAAAACCAATGTTATAACAGAAGTCCCTATTGCTCTGGTCACTTATGAAATACCAAGAGTTTGGGGAGCTGTGAGCCGGGAGACAGGACTAAGACCAAATACACCTTTCTTGTTATAAATCTCCATATTACTCTGCACTTCACTAGGGTTCATCAATTCAAAATACTTTCCTGATTCAGGCATGTAAGATGAATAATGTCCATGTGTTTGTTGTGTAATACCATCTTAACTTGTATTCTTTCAGCACCACATAACTTATTTGCATAATTTTGTTCTTTAGTTCTGAATAAAAAATGCTCTTTTTTTTTTTTTGTTTTGGAAACACCTGACCCTCTCAGTTTTTCATTTTTTTCACTTTTGATATAAAATAAATAGAGGTTCCCTTTCCTCTGATTTTACTAAAGAAAATAAAAGCACAGGCTTCATGATACATGGTAATTGATGAACTCTTCCATTTCAGGAAGACTTGAGGAAGGAATGTGAACTCCTGGACAGGACATGCACTTCTGAGGACATGCAAGAACTACTACCTGGCTCCTTGTTTCATCTGATTATTATTATTATTATTATTATTACTATTATTATTATTTTGCATGTAGGCTTGATGTTGTCAGACCTGATACTTTAAGAAAAAACATATTTTTTTAAAACATGAAATTCCTTGTTTTTTTAAATGTTGGCAACAACCCCAATATTATTTTTAAAATACTGAAAAGGACAACAGAAGCCAAATGAAACAGGTCTGCAGGCTGAATTTGGACCAATGGTGGCAGTTTGATTACTAATATTCTACCCTTTTCCCCTCATGTGATACTATATATTAAACATTGTTCCTCATCAGGACAAAGAGGTCTTACCTCACAGGCTTCCTTGGCTAGTGTGAATATAATGTAGGCCAGTGGTCGGCAAACTCATTAGTCAACAGAGCCAAATATCAACAGTACAACGACTGAAATTTCTTTTGAGAGCCAAATTTTTTAAACTTAAACTATATATATAGGTAGGTACATTGTATTAACTTAAATTAGGGTACTCCTAAGGCTTAGGAAGAGCCACATTCAAGAGGCCAAAGAGCCGCATGTGGCTCGCGAGCCGCGGTTTGCCGACCACAGCCCTAGCTTCATCTCAGTGAGATGCCAGGGAGTCTCCTGGGTGCAGAGACCCAGGGGTCTCCCCCCCTTTGCTTTCTCCCACCCCTTTAGTCTATCACCAGTGGATTTCATGTAACCCACCTCTGTCCCTTTCCTTTGATTGCAATGTATAAATACAAATGTAACCCACCAATCTCTGGAGCATTATCTCAATTTGTTGAGGTTCTGCTTCCCGGCATATGTCGACAGTTTGGCTCAAATAAACTCACAAAATTCTTTACAGGTTTCAATTCTTTACAGTTTTTTTACGTTAACAATAATTTATAGCTAGCTCTTAGCTATGGACATTTGTGTTGTTAAGTTAATTAAACAAAGGGGCCATTAGACAGATTGTTCTAATGCTGTGTCCGTGTACAAAGCATCCCAAAACCTGAGCTTGTAAATGCTTTAAGGTTAATAAATCAAAACCTGAGACAACCAATCACGAACAGCCAACTAGGCTTTCCCAAAGAAGGCAACCACTTAAGCTGTAGCCCATCAAAAATTTTCTTGCTTTACTTCCTTGTCATTAGAGAAGTGCTCCTCCTGTTGGTGGAGCACTCCCAACCACTTCCAGCTTGTCATTGTCTGACTCAAATCAAATTTTTTTTTTTATCAAATAAACTCTTAAAGTGTTTAATTTGCCTCAGGTCATCTTTTAACTATTGATTCCAATCTTTTGCTATTTCATGCAATGAAGAAATAAACACTTGCACACATCATGCATACATCTTTGCACGTACATGGGAGTGCTTCAGTAGGACAGATGCCTAGAGATACAGTCACAAAACAATGGTTTTGTATCATGTGAAGATGACCCATGTATGAAAGGGGTTGGTATTACTTGGTTTCTCTTATTCTTGAAACACACACACACTCCCACAAACAACTAGCAAGTAACAGAAACAAAGAAATGTTTGTGCAGCTCTACAATCCCGGAAAGATCTAGTTTGCAAAGGTCATTATAGCAAGTTCCTATCTGGGCCTGCCATTAAGTTAAAACAGTCACTGCAATAAACATAATAAAGAAAATCCCCCGAGTCCTGCTTTTGGGAAGTTTGCTATGACTGAGTCTATACCGGGTGCAGTTGTGAATGGATAGATACTAACTCAGGATTCTGATCTGAAAGGAAATCGTTTTATGCTTTGTGTTTGGCGGAGGAGAGAGGGGGATGCCCTTGAAGTGGAGCAGGGACACAGGGCACTTTAATTGTGGCTATGCCACCAACTGCCTTCATTACCTTTCATAGCTCATATTCCTTGCAGTGGTTCTCAACCTTCCTAATGCTGCGACCCTTTAATACAGTTCCTCATGTTGTGGTGACCCCCAACCATAAAATTATTTTCCGTTGCTACTTCATGACTGTAATTTTGCTACTGTTATGAATCGTAATGTAAATATCTGATATGCAGTATGTATTTTCATTGTTACAAATTGTACATAATTAAAGCATAGCGATCAATCACAAAAACAATATGTAATTATATTTTTTCCGATGGTCTTAGGCGACCCCTGTGAAAGGGTCGTTTGACCCCAAAGGGGTCGCAACCCACAGGTTGAGAACCGCTGCTTTAATAGATCCCAGTTTTCTCATGAAACCTGAAATGTAAGAGTTGAAGAGGGTAAAAAAAAAGGGAGGGGGGAAGGGCGGGTTAAAGCCATAGAACACTCTTAGGTTCCTTAGAAAAAGAATGAAGACAGAAAGGGGAAGGGGGCCCAGGACCGCTGAGACCTGGGTCTCTCCAACATGGAGAGGTTTGGGATCGGAGGAACTAGCAAGAGAGAGTGGGAGAAAAAGGAGAAAGTAACGTCCCGGAAACCAAGAAGGGTGCTGACTCCGGAGCGGAACGCTGAGGGGTCAGTGACCACTGACAGCGTGGGATTGTTAGACATCGACACGAACCATTTCAACAATTGGGTGAAATGAAAAACCGGACGGAAGCCGGCTGAAGACTGACGGCACGAAATCATCTCTGATGCCTTTATAAACGGCACAAGCTTATTCCAACCCCATAACGGGTCTACTTGATCTGAGCCCCTTTCAGACGTGACCTTCGGATCCGTCTGTGACTTCTGCCTCCCTGAGACGGTTCTAAGGATCGGAAAAGGCTTTGTAAACAAAGGCGCCGAAAGAAAGACCGTGGCGAAGGAGCAGCCGCTGGTTTTTATTAGTCTCTTACTGTCCTCATTGTGTACTCTGTAGAATTCTCCAGGCTCCCTCAATACCTACATTTTCTCAAATTGGTACCAACCAGTGAGAATTTATCCATCCCGAGTCCCAGCCCCTCACCATCGTCCGCCCCAGCGCAAACACCCCACCCCGATTCCCCGCTCCCCAGCTCTAGCCTTCAACCCGCAGGGCTCAGAATTCCAACCCGGAAACCCAGCCGGCGGAGCGGGTTGGGGGCGGGAAAGATGTGCCTGGGCTCCGAGCGCATGCGCGAACCCTGCCCGGACCGTTTGTGCTGCTCTCCCAGAAAGGGTGAGGGGGGGTGGTTTGCCTGACGGACCGAGTACGGGTGCCGAGCGGGCTCTCGCGGAAGTCCATGCGCCATTGGGAGGGCCGCGGTGGCTTCTCGGTGTCCTTGTTGCCCAGGGCCCTTTCCTGGGTTATTCCTGGAGCAGAAGCCGGACTGGGACTGACACCCGGCTCCCGCGCGGCCGTCTCAGCGCCGGTGCGACCTCCTCGCTGGAGGGATGTGGCGTCTACGCCGGGCCGCCGTGGCCTGGTAAGTGCAGGCTGCGACCTGGCCCCGTTATTTCTAGGGCCTCTGGAAACAGGGTTTGCCCCTTCATACTACCCGACGTGCAGATGACGCTCAGCACAGGCGGTTGCGGATTCCGGGATGTTCTTGCGGGCCCGGAGGGACTGGAGCCCTCACAGGGCTTACGGGCACTGCCAGCGCCTGCACTGCCCTTGTCCCAGCTCCTGTGCCCCTCGAAGAGCTGGGCGCCTTTCCGCCTTGGCCTGTCTCGGTTGCCCCTGCCCTTTTCACCCTTCTGACCTCGCCGTCATCTCTGTCTCCGGTTGCTTCTAGGTTTTGCCCTCTCCCTCCCGGTCTTTGGTTCTCTCCGTGCGCTACCTTGGCCGCGTCTCTCCTGACTCTCCTCTCTCCACGCCGGGCGCACCTGCTCGCGCGGGTCCTTACGCTCTCCCCCCGGGTGCTGGGGCCTCTGCCTCTCGCCCCAGCCCACGGAGGGAACGCGATTTGGGGGTCAGGTCTGCAGCAGTGACGCCCACGGTGGCGGAGATGGAGATGAGACATACCCTCTTCATAGCAGCCTTTTTCAGAGTTTAGGGAAGGAGTCTTGGTTGGGGATGCAAGGTGGGAAATGTGGCACCGCCTTTCCAATCACACTGTTACTGTTGCCCTGGCCTGGTTTAAGCCTAAGTAGAAAGTCACAGAGGACTTTTCATTTAATGGGTTACTATATGCATTTTAATGAGATTCAAATGACTATCTTTGCGTGTAGTTGTATTTTATCCTTAGATTCCTTTAGAGTTCATTCATTCTTGCAGGCATTTGATAACAAGGAATATACTTCAAGCAAGGCTGAAAAAAAAAAAACCACACTTGGTTTTCCCCGATTTAACTCAGCCTGTAAACCAGCGGTTCTCAACCTGTGGGTCGAGACCCCTTGGGGGGTCGAACGACCCTTTCACAGGGGTCGCCTAAGACCATCGGAAAACACATATATAATTACATATTGTTTTGTGATTAATCAGTATGCTTTAATTATGTTCAATTTGTAACAATGAAATTGGGGGTCACCACAACATGAGGAACTGTATTAAAGGGTCGCGGCCTTAGGAAGGTTGAGAACCACTGCTGTAAACACTTGTCTTGAATTTTTTAAGAACGTGTAAAAATAGTTTAGATAACATAGTATTTATTTATAAAGAATAAAATCCATTTATCTTGTGAAGCTTATCCTGAGTTTAAGTTCAGAACTGGATGGCATACAGTAGTTATAGTTTTGTCAAATAGAATAGTTGAATAAATTATTTCCAATTTCAGTAAATTTTAATTTCTGAGTAAATCCACAGTCCTCAATACTAAAGTTATTTACAACCTTTTTATTTCTACTCAGTATTTACTGGGGAAACATCTAATTTTCTTTAAAAAGAGAAAAGACTGCAGAAAATAGCATACTTGTTGAAGTAATTAATATCTGTAGGAAAAACTTTAAAATTGAATTTAAGAACAAATTGATTAATAACTGATATTTGTTTATTCAGTTGCGTGCTGTTGGGCTAAATTAATTCTAAAGTTACTGTGGACTCCATAGAGTTTTGGATCAATAATGGCATCTTATGTTGATAACACAATTTCTCTACCTGCAGAAGTAGAGATGTGAAAAGCCAAAACCCCAAGCTCTGGAATTTGTCTTTTGTTGTGCAACATGCTTCCTCTGAATGTTATGAAGAAGTACATTCAATTTTCTGTTCTTTAACAGATGAGAACATAAACATTTTTTGAAACATATATCTAAGCACATACTGATGGACATGTAAGGAGATCAAAGACCAACATTTATTTAGGTGCAATAAATATTTGTGTAAAATTGTTGAAAAAAATAAATACGTATTAGGGAATGATGTACAGATTAGAAGAGATGGCAGATGAGAGAGAACAGATGATTTCAGGGGGGAAACCTTATGTTGGTTCATGTTTGATTTTTAGTTTGGCTGAATATGGAAGTCTGTTCAAAATTCTTCAGGACTGTGAAGGCATTGCTACTTTCCCCCCCCCCGATCATTCTTTGTTATTAATACAAACTCTCAGGACAATCCCATTTTTGTGTTTGTAGGTATCCTGTTTTTCCCTTCATGGAAGGAAGCTTTTAGGATTTTGGCCTTATCTTAAAATTCTCAAGGCTTTGTCCAGGTGTGGATCTTACCCCTGTCCCACTCTTTACCCTCCCACTCCTAACCCCCAGTCATCTGGTCTGACACTCAGTAGGCCTTTCTGTTAAAAAGATTCTTTCTTCGGGTCTGGGAAATATTTCTTCTTTTATTTCTTTATTTTTTTCCTTTTATTTTTTCCTGGGTATTTTTTAGCCCATCCATTTATCCATTCAAGCAGTTACTCATTCACTCATAAACATTTGAGTATCTGCTTTGTTTTAAAAGTCTATGCTAGGTTGGGAAAAGAGTGTGTGTGTTTTTTTCTTTTCTTTTTAGATATCTATTATGTGAATATTGTTTTTCTTTTTAGACATGTATTATATGGAAATTATTCATGATTTCCAAAACATGATCTGTATCTATCATCTGTTGGAGAAATATGCATGTACCAAATCTGTGTATATGTACACTTTTAAAAAAATTATAAATATACCTCTGTACTAATTAATTATTTACATTATAAATTGACCCTAATATAGTCTTGAAGGACAAGATACAAACAAAACAAAACAACCTGTATCTAGAAGCGTTGGTACTTTCTTCCTGAATCCCATAGATCATTTTGCAAATACCGGGTGCATTCCACACACACCCCATTTTGGATACCACAGCTCTGAATCACTTAACTTTTCTCTTATGGTTTCTACTCATTTCTTTATATTCTAAGTTCTGGATAATTTCCTTAAATCATTGTCTGGTGTTGCCGTTCTTTATTTTATATTGGCCTTTACAGCTTTAATTTTCATGAACTCCTTTATAACATTTATTAAACTCTTAAAAGATGTGTAATTCTGTAACTTTTGTATTGTTCTCCAGTTGCTATTTTTAATACAACCTGCTTCTATTTTATGTCTGCAGTATCTTTAGGAAGCCCCCTGAGAATATTATTACAAATTTTTTAAAGATTTTTTTGTTTTTGTTTTTTAAATATATTTTATTGATTTTTCACAGAGAGAAAGGGATAGGGATAGAGAGCTAGAAACATCGATGAGAAAGAAACATTGATCAGCTGCCTCCTGCACACCCCCCACTGGGGATGTGCCCGCAACCAAGGTACACATGCCCTTGACCGGAATCAAACCTGGGACCCTTCAGTCTGCAGGCCAACACTCTATCTACTGAGCCAAACCAGTTAGGGCTATTATTACAATTTTGTATCTTCACTTTTTCTAAGATTAACAGTGTTGTTTATCTTGGTCCTCATTTTAAGAGTTGCTGATTTTCTATAAGAGCCTAGTTATCGAATCATATTTAAACATGAAGGACTAATGATGTATATAGATACCTGTGTGGGTTACACCTGAATGAAAAGGCTGATTTAGCAAACTGTTTTAGGTATGCGGTATGTCAGCGAGCAGGCTTCATTTTAGAGTTTTTAGGGAGTGGGCAGGCTATCTATCTGTTGTTGTTACAAATACCAGTATTGTTGGGGCCCACCCTGGGAAAACCCCCTCCTTCCACTAATACTCCCCCCCAACCCACACACACACTTTTGTGAGTCTTAGCTCTTCCTTGCCTGATTGCTTAGTGTAGAGACAAGTGTTGCTGTTAACACTCAGCTGCATTGGAATAGGGTGGAGGATGACCCAAACCACCTTTCCCCAGTTGGGGCTTCAGTAAGTCTCAATTTCTTTCTCCTGTTTTCATTCTCTTACCGTATTTCAAAAGGATGAAAAAGTCTTGTATGCGCATTGATCTTTTAGATCATCCTTATGAATTAGAAGCTCTAGAAGTAATCTTTGAGGATGCCTTTTCAAGTATGAGGATTTTGCTTTGCATCAACTATCTCTTCCAGGGGACTAATTGAAGAACATTTTATATGTAGTTCCTGACTTGGACTACCATACACTCTATCTTTGCCCCCACCCATACATATTTCTGCCACCACTGTGGAAGTAGGAATTTTAGGGGTTTGGAAATAAAGGATGGAGAAAGTACAGCAAGCTCTTGAATAAAGTCATTGAACAGCGTTGTTTCATTATAACATTGATGAGATGTTGTAGGAACTTAATTCTTGTTTAGTCTATGGTAAAAACTGATTTTATTATGCATCATTTGGCTTCAGGTTGCAGAACCAGAACCTATCAATGACATTGAGGACTTACTATAAAATAAAAAACATCTTAGAGATAAGACTACTCAGTCCTGTGGTTCATCTGTTTTGGTTATATATTTGGATTAACTCTTTTCAAATAATTTTTTAGGTTAAAGAGCTATTCATACATTCATGGAGGTTAGTGCAATTAATGTTGAATTGACATTTATTGAGCACCTTTTCTGTGGTCTTTGCTAGGTTCTTTCACCTTTTAAAAAATTTTGCTACTTAATTACCCCAATAACATATTCATTAAGCAAATTTATTGAGTGTCTACTATTTGTGAGGCATTGGGCTAAGCTTAGAAATACAGTGGTAAGCAAAACAGACCTTATGGAGATTGCAGTTTAATGGTAGAGACAAATATTAATTCAATAATTATATAATATAAATTTTATAAGCACTGAAGAAAAATACAGGGAGCCAAGAACTGTAGGAGGGGAACTTGAATAAGAATGAAGTTCAGGGAAAGGGGGAATGCTTGAGGTGAAACCAGTTCTAATAGAAGTAACAGGAGTTAAGTAGAAGAGTTTGTCCAAGAACAGCAGAAATTAAGGCCCTGGTGTGGAAGGAGTATGGCACTGTTGAGGAGTATGGCACTAGATGAAAACCTGTCTGGAGGTGAGAGGGAGAGAGATGGGCACCAGACCATGGAAGCCTTGATAGACTAGGAGTTTGGATTTTATTCTTAATGCAGGGGGAGGCATTTAAAAGATTTATGCAGGTGAGTGACAGTGATCAGATTTATATTTCAAAAGAGTGTTCTGGTGAAGAGAACACCTTGGTACAGACCATTGTAGTCACTCATGTAAGGAATGATAATAGTGGAGATGGGAGAAGGGGGAGATTTGAGATCTATGTTGAAGTGGAATTAACAGAACTTGAGGGTGAGAGAGTCTTAAGTATGATCCCCAGGTTTGTGGCTTCTGTAACTGGATAGGTGCTGCTTATGCCATTTTCTGCGATGAGGAGTACTGGAAGAAGATCAGGGCTTCGTGGGGGTGTGAGGAGGGGGAAAGATAGCAAGATTTTGGACATCTCGAATTTGAGGTATTTTTTGTATCTAAATAGAAATGTTGAGTAGGCAGTTGGACAGCAGGATCTGGACCTTAATTATTAGTATTAGGCACAAATTTGAAGAACATGAGTATGTAGATGGTAATCAAGGAAATAGATGTGGAGAAGATTGCCTAGGAAATAGATGTGGAGAAGATTGCCTAGATACAGTAAGAAGAGAAGTGGGTTTAGATCTTGGCCTTAATAAACTAATATTTAAGTTGAAACCAGTTTGGCTCAGTGGATAGAGCGTCAGCCTGCGGACTGAAAGGTCCCAGGTTCGATTCCGGTCAAGGGCATGTACCTGGGTTGCGGGCACATCCCCAGTGGGGAGTGTGCAGGGGGCAGCTGATCGATGTTTCTCTCTCATCGATGTTTCTAACTATCTCTCTCCCTTCCTCTCTGTAAAAAATCAATAAAATATATTAAAAAAAATAAACTAATATTTAAAAGGTATGGAAGTTGGGGAGGACGCAAGTGAAAAATAATGACCAGTGAGGTAAGAGTAAAACTACAGACTGCCAAGGAAGAGAGAATTCCAACAGTGAGGAGGTGTCAACATTGTCAAATATTGTAGAGAGAATTAAAATGAGAATTGAAAAAACCAAATGTCCAGTGGAAAGCTTTTGGCACACTCTCTAAGTGCCATTTCACTGAAATGATACAAATGAAAATCAGGTTGATTTGACTTTTAATGAGTAGCTAGAGAAATGAAATGGAATGGGATCCTTTTCCCCCCTCCTTTAAGGCAAGAGAGACTTGACTTTTGATTCCTTAAAAGGCAGGAGGAAGAAAGTTTGAAATAGGGAGTCTCTAGGGCAGCGGTTCTCAACCTGTGGGTCGTGACCCCTTTGGAGGTCGAACAACCCTTTCACAGGGGTCGCCTAAGACCATTGGAAAATACATATTTAATTACATATTGTTTTTGTGATTAATCACTATGCTTTAATTATGTTCAATATGTAACAATGAAATTGAGGGTCACCCCAACATGAGGAACTGTATTA